AACTCGTTATGAGGGTACGATGAGCATGAGGGTGGAATATTAAACAGATGAACGTTAGGTCGGGATAGTTTTAGATGAGATGGGATATAACGTTGTGATCTGCGAGAAAAGAGTGGAATGAAAACATCAGTGTTCGCTATTAACTTTTGGGAATTTATGAACGGATTTGTCGTCTAACGGATTTACAATTCCTACACATTGGAGCTACTATACAAAATTTTACTACTAGTGTTGTGTAACAATAGCATCACCAGAAGTTTAAGTAACAGATCTGGCAGCGACCAGTCTACGTTGCAGTAAGGTGGCGTTGCTTACGTGACAAACTTTATACAATTTTCAAATTCAAATTCCCTTAACTTCATGCTGTTTTCAAACTAAAGCGTTACCTGTACTATGTAGAATAATCGCTATGCTATGCGTCTGATCGTTATTCTTGTTACTTGTATACTAGCTACTCCCTAGTTCACGCTTCGCCTATTGACCATTCCCTTTTGAGTACTTTCGCTTGCAAGCGCGAAAAGCAGTATCCTCAGTTTTCAGTCAGATGAAACCTAACCAAATTATGAAAGTCTCCGTGGCATACACGTTGAAAAATCCTCCTTTGTATGTTTTCATTATCAGCTTCCTTGCACAAACTGCTAGTATTTTTCTAATCTGTTTTCAAATATGATCAATTTTTTTAATCTTCAAGGCTATAAGACTACTCGAGTTGCTCAGTCAACAGACGACCATGTGTCTCTAATGGAAAGGAATTTTTCCTCAATGTTCCGAAATATCAAAAAAAATCTACAAGTTACCAGTCGACTCTTCTATAACTTAAGTTATATCATTTGCAAAAGTATCCTCACACCAAGTATGAAAGTTTTGGAAACAACTATCAGTAACAGTTGCAAGTAAGTTCTCCAGTTATTGCCTCCAAAGTTTCAGCCATACAGCCGGAGACCTTGACTGCGTAGTGGAGTAGTAGGAGTCTCACGCAGTGTTAACGAACTCCAGCTAACTCCCACAACTCTCTAAGACTTCGCGAGAAACCATAATTGCCCTGAAATGACTTTTGCGATCGATTTCCCAAAAGTTTCTTCTTATTCTTGTACCCGCGGGACCTTGACACTGATTTAATTCGGTAATTTCAAAAAGTTCGGGAGTATATAGTTTTTGACCCACTTCGGTCGTAACTTCAAAGAACCAACTTCAACACTTCCCCTCATTCCAGTCACTTAATACTTCTTCTTCAGTTTTAACTTTTTTCCGGGGATTACTTTTTCATCATTTACATCTGGGCAAAGTTTGTTGGGGACAAGTTTCTTGGCCATCCAAACTTCACTAAACAAACTACGGAGAGGTGCAGGTTTAAATTGATGCAGTTTTAGCCCATTTTTACGTATTGAAGTAAGTTACTACATATACTTTTGTTGTTCTGTTGTGTTTCTGTATGAAATTAAATTTCATCTTACATATAGCATTGAAAGCTTATAGTAGATACCGGTGATGTCAAGATATTAGTTTTCTCCTATACTTGTCCTTCGTCTCTTACCGAAAGGATCTTATTCCTCAACAAAATAAAGCTCAGAAATGGGATAGATAGATATTATTGTTGTAAAGAACAAAACAAGAAGAGAGGTAAAATTAACTTCGATATTTTCTTTTTTGTCAAATCAAGTATATAATTGCCGGTCATTAACACACGTCCTTTCGCGGGGAAAAACTTCTGTATGTTCCTAATTGGAACAGCAGAAGAAGTAAGTAAGGCTAGCATAGACACTCATGCTACACGTACGACTTACTTGCAAGCAAGTCGTCATGCAAGAAATACTCGTAGTGTTTGTGTGATCCGACGCCATGTGGTCGTCAAGCATACAGACACACATTCTTTTTTTCAAGCAAGTTGGTACATGTGCAAATATTAACACGCTGTTGATTTTATTCATAACAAGCACTTGCCGGAATGCGACAATGAAAACGGAAGATTTGGTACGTCACAAACTGCATCTTGCGTTTCGATTGTAGACTATATAATACATATAATATGCCAGCCTTTAAATGTGAAAGAGAATTCTGCCACAGACCTAACAAGATATATTGAAATAAGTTTTTTTCATGTATGGTTCTTAACAAAATGCCTGCCAACATTTGCAATACTCGACGCGACGACCCGCTAACAGACCACTGATATAAAAAGGGCAATTGGCATAAATATATATAACATATAACTTGAGACGTGGTCATTGTCATCTAGACCAGTTGGGTGAAAAATAAAGCTTCCGCCTTTAGTTGGATACTTCGACAAAATTCAAGCAATGAGGACTCTTCATACTTTATTAGTCTCTAGCTTTCAATGGACTTTGCCATCATCATCAGGAGAATAGTATGTGAGATTGTTGCTAAATGTTATTAAAGGTTAAGTTGGGGGAAACATTTAGTAACCTGTTGAAAGTTACATGTAGCACATGGTATCTGCATTCGTTAAAATTAGTATAAAATGCACATAGCTGTATGTCAGGAACACATCAAAATGGATTAAAAATATTTGGAATGAAAGTTAAAATTATTACATGTTACATCGTGAAACAGCAGGCAGCATCAGGTTGTTCCAAATATTTTTAATCCGTTTTGAGGTATTCCTGATATACAGCTGTGTGTATTTTATACTAATTTTAATGAATGCACCATGTATTCAGCTTTCAACAGGTTACTAAATGTTTCCCTCAACTTAACCTTTAATTAATTTTAGCAACAATCTCACATACTATTCTCCTGATGATGATGGCAAAGTCCATTGAAAGCTAGAGACTTAATAAAGTATAAAGAGTCCTCATTGCTTGAATTTTGTCGAAGTACCCAACTAAAGGCAAAAGCTTTATTTTTCACCTATATATAAAATATATATAAAATAATCCATCTATCTTGTAGTAGTTAGATGGACAAAATCCATAATGATCCTCAGCGGCTTTTATGCTCCGTCGTATCACTTATTTATGTAGGATTCCACAATTATTTGAGGACCCTGATTTTTTATGTCAGTTTTAACTACAACTGTAAATAATATATTGGTATAGAAAACCTCACATTTGTGGGAGACATTATCTAACTCCAACTTTATTATCATAATCATTCTTGTTAGATGCCTCTTAATATGAAGCAACCAATTGCCCAAGAGTAACTTGGTGCAAATTTCTATAAACTCCATTTTAAGTAAATTAAAAAATTGTTGTTTTCGCTTCGGATAGTTTTTCCAGGGTTTTTGTAGATTTCAAAAAAGGCCATCAGTAAGTTTCCTCCAAAGTTGTCCGTTTTCGAGTTATAAACGTTTTAGAGGCTGAAAAACTTTAAAATGGTTATTTTCAACGCTGAATAACTCGGTCAAATTTCAACTTACAAATAAGAACGTAATGTAACATATATACTAAGTGACATATAAATCCGAACACCCAGTTTAAATGGTTTTATTTTAATAAAATTTTGTATAAGTACTTAATGAAGCATAATAAGTAAATGATAAAAATTTCAAAATGATTGCACTGCTTTAAAGCCCTTTGACCTTTAATAATGTGTGGATGCACCCTGATGTGCTACGCAATCTCCAACGCGTCTAGGCATGCTTCTGATCAGGTGGTCAATATTCTCCTGTGGTATCTCATTCCAGGCAACCACCAACTCCTCTCGAAGTGCTTCTAGAGTCTGAGGAGGACGTTGCAAATTGAGCAATCTCCTACCCATCATATCCCACACGTGCTCAATTGGAAATAAGTCGGGAGATCTTGGTGGCCATGGTAACAATGTGACATCATTATGTTGAAAGAAGTCTATTGTGACTCTTGCTACATGTGGTCGGGCATTATCTTGTTGGAAAGTTAAATCTGCCAGGGTGTCTTGATAGGGTAAAAGATGGCGTCTAGAACTTCGTGGATATAACGCTGCGCGTTTATGTTACCTCTGATGAAGATTAAAGGTGACCTGGAACCATAAGCTATAGCACCCCAAACCATAACTCCAACAGTGTGATGAACATGTCTTTCAACAAAAAACTGTGGACTCCTTCCTTTCACCACGTCACCTTCTAACCATGGCACGACCATCGTGCATGCCTAAACAAAATCGAGACTCGTCACTAAAGACAATATTGTTCCATTCCTGATCCCAGAGTGACCGTTGTCTGCACCACTCAAGGCGATTACCTCGGTGTAAGGGTTAGAAGGCGACGTGGTGAAAGGAGGAATCCACAGTTTTTTGTTGAAAGACATGTTCATCACACTGTTGGAGTTATGGTTTGAAGTGTTATAGCTTATGGTTCCAGGTCACCCTTAATCTTCATCAGAGGTAACATGAACGCGCAGCGTTATATCCAGGAAGTTCTAGAACCCCATCTTTTACCCTATCTTGACACCCTGGCAGATCCAACTTTCCAACAAGATAATGCCCGACCACATGTTGCAAGAGTCACAATAGACTTCTTTCAACATAATGATGTCACATTGTTACCATGGCCACCAAGATCTCCCGACTTATCCCCAATTGAGCACGTGTGGGATATGATGGGTAGGAGATTGCTCAATTTGCAACGTCCTCCTCAGACTCTAGAAGCACTTCGAGAGGAGTTGGTGGTCGCCTGTAATGAGATACCACAGGAGGACATTGACCACCTGATCAGAAGCATGCCTAGGCGCGTTGGAGAATGCGTGGCACATCAGGGTGCATCCACACATTATTAAAGGTCAAAGGGCTTTAAAGCAGTGCAATCATTCTGAAATTTTTATCATTTACTCATTATGCTTCATTAAGTACTTATACAAAATTTTATTAAAATAAAACCATTTAAACTGGGTGTTCGGATTTATATGTCACTTAGTATACATATAATTTGTATCTGTAACAATAAAACTTTCTCACTGGATGTCATTCACACCCGACACAGAGAGATCTAAAGCTCACTTATAATTGAAACTGTTTACGTTTTTGTCTGACAGTTTGAAACAATACTTTGTGAAAATAAATTTACTCACCTCTGCCAATACTATTTGGTGAAAGCGTTCCCGTAGGTATAGTGGTTACAGAAGTGGTTTTCGCTCCACTCTCGCTCCCACTTACTGCCGCAACACTTGGTACTCCTTCCCTTTGCACTTCTTGTAGCGTGCTTGCAGCCCTTGATCCTAATCCTGCAGGTTGTAGTATCGTGTACTGTTTACTTGCACCTTCAGGACTTTTCACTTGAGCTTCAGCCTGAGCTTCGCTGGGTTTTAGTGGAGTTACATTTTTTTGTTTGTCTTCAGCTTCACCAGGATAAGCTACAAACGTAGCTTCAGCTGGAAATGGACCGAGTGGCGGATTTTTGGACTGAGGCGGCCTGAAGGCAGATGTGGTTGAAAAAGGTGATGTCGTTGAGGATGTCCTAGGATAGCTATGGAAGGCAGAGTCACTGGTTGGATATTTAGGTATCTTGGACCTTTGGTTCTTGGGGTCTTCGCTGGATTCATTCTTCTCTGAAGCAGATTCAGACATGTCGATCTCTAGTTCGTTGGAACTTTCGTCCACCAACTCGTTGAAGTCTGGGCTTTGGTATGTCTTTTTACCTTCACCACCTTTTTTGTTGTTGCTTTCACTAGACTTGTCGCTATTACTGTCATCATGTTCATGTGGTTCTCTTAATGTTATCACATCCTTTAGCGAGCAAGCATTATCAGAGCTGCTATTAGAAACAGAGCTTGGTGATAGTTTTACATTAGCTTTCTTTTCATCAAATAAATTTTCAAAAGCAGGTGTATCCTCCTGTTGAGTAGCATATCCTCCTCTAGAGCCATGCCAGCTTCCTGAAAGGTTCTTCAATGCAGCTTCCGTTTCCCTGATCAAAGTTTCTTCTGGTGCACCCTCATCAGACAATTTGGGAGATTTTTTGATAGGACTAGAAGTATTTGAAGTAGGAAGGACTCGTTTCTTCTGAGGTAATAGCAAGGACTTAGCTTCATCGGCAGCCTTTTTCCGTCTCTTGTCATCCAATGTTTCCAGTTTCGTGAAGCTCTTAGCGACGGCGGCCATGCTTGGCAAGTGCGATTGGTCGATTTTGCGCTTTTTTAGATGAGCGGGTAGGCCGAATTGGCGGAGCGGTCTGCAAGAGAAGAAATAGATGCCGATTATAAAAGATACGTATAAAAGGAGAGAATAGTAATGCTATTGTTTGTGAAGATTTTGCGGTAAATATTATAAAAAAGCTTACAAATCCAGAGTTTAGTTTGAGGAATGGTTTATCGTCCGCTTCGTTAATATGCTAACAAGTGCTTGTTCTCTATCCTGAATAATACGTATATAAGTACGGGTAGTAAAGTGATCCCGAAATTTTGGGACGATATTTTCCAAGTATATAAGGGGATCATTTGCATTAGTGTGGGCGTGTCATTGATGTCATATGTGCGTTGCGCCTTCAAAACGTTTGAAAAACCAGAATGCTTTCCACGCAACAAGTTCTTGGAATCTATTGTCATGAAAATATATGTCACCGACTTTCGTTAATCTAAGAGTCTAAGCTAGAGAAGAATATTTTTCGATTCTCTCATAATTTTTAGGTGAGACTGGAAGTTTCTTCCACAAAGGTTAAACACCTTGTTAGGTGGGTGGAACAAGAAAGGCAAAATCTTTAAAAGTCATAGTTATTGCAATGCGATGACAAATTCCTTCTTCTCACACTTAAACTCAGCGAGGTCAAGAGCACAGATGTGGTGACGAGCCTTATTATTTTGTCAATGCGGTCCCTTACTTTGTTGACTCCGATTGTCGACATTGAAGTTATAACACGAGCTCACAGCACAACCAGTTTTTAAATTGTATCTCAATAATAAATGAATTGTAGCTTTCCAGCAACCATCTGGAACATTACGGCTTCACAAGGAACGGACTTATGAGAAGGCCATTTAAGTCGGTTTAAATTTTTTTATCTCATTATAAAGGCTGTTAGCAACTCATTTTTTATCATTATAATGAGTAATGCTGAATGAGTATCTGTTATGAGAATATATTCCATTTAAATGAGATGACTTTATCTGTATTTTAAGTAATATAAGCAGATATTTGAATTGTTTAAGGTTGAATGACTGATTTATTATATTGGCCTTATAACGAGTCTTGTTCCTTGCAAAGCTGTGCGGAGAGAGCTTATATTTAATAAACAATGGTTACTTCTGCAATAGAGCAATGATGTATAAATTAGAAAAAAGGTGGTACTGCTATAATTTGTTTATTTCATTTATTCGGTAATAAATGACTTTAATGGTCCACCCACCTTTATTCCAAGTTTCTCGTATTTACGGTATGGCCAAAAATTGACTAGGGAACCCAATAATTCTAAAATTCATCCTATACAATTAATTTGTCTCCAGTACCAACTGTTCTTTCGCCATACCAAATGCAGATTGGATTTTTGTGTTGCAGACGTTAACAAGTCTCCAATGAATCGTCCATAACATATTTAAACAAGAAAATTGCAAAAGAACGATAAGAGCTTCTTTACACAAATATATTTCAATCCGCAACAGTAACAAGAATATCTCTCTTCGTTATTTCACTTTATGGCGGGCTTTATAGGGTTCTAGAGAGCTCCAATAACCAGATGTTTTACCGAACAGAACGAAATCGGTCAGTACGTGGACTATACTCAGTTTCCACACCGAATACTTACGTACGGATTTATCAGTACTCTTACTAAATATTTCATAAACTAAATTCAGTGTTGAATTCTAGTTCTGTCGTATTCATAGCTGGGTAACATAAATAAAAGAAAAAGTACATTTCTAAAAACAAGCAAAACATTTATTTACCAGTTAATGAACTAAGAATTTAAAAACGTTTTTTCTGATTGTAAATATACCGTTCTACAGTTCGTAATCTTTATAGGATAATGAAGATCCTTCATCTTAAGTTTTAAAATAAAATAGCTACCATATTGGATTTAGAGTGACATCTCTTATTGTATTGCTCTCATCAAGCTCTTTCATTTGATATCTATATGACAGAGGTTACTAGGTATGAATGATAAATCGGCATTCTGTAGCACCCGCCATATTGGGTTCCAAATGTGTGTCACTTAATTAATAATTGTGTGTTGTCACGCGAATCGAACGTGTATACAGAGTTTCAAAATTGATTAAGGTCAGTAACAGTAACATACAGATATACTAACAGGTCAAGTTAAATAAACTTCAAAATAACATGTAAACGAACATTTCATATTAACCAAAAATCATAGGAAGTCCCTATAATACCCGCTTATGTAAAGCATTTATCTCCGTTAAAAAAGGCAACCCGCTACTCAGCTGTACGGAGGGTCGCAACACAGCAATGCAGGAGGGTGCACGAAAGCTAGACATCGGCATCGGGGTTTCCCCTTGGAATGACGCAAAGACGAGGGTGCAGCAGCCAGCTTACGGAGGAAGTGGGCTTCGACCTTCAGATAGGGATCTATTTATATCTGATTTCATTTTTATGTGTGTCGAACTGAAAAGGAGGAAAATCTCTTTGGCGTTTAAGAGGCAGGTTTTTTATCCTTGTGATGAGGGTTATCGGATTGTTTGGTCTTTTCAGGGTCAGCTTCAAGATATACAGTCTGCTTTCCGAGGAATATGATATATTGTACGAATTAATAGTTATTTTTATGATGCCGTAAGATTTCAACATATATGAATTATTCCATTCTTGTGAAAAAGTCTTCTTTTTTCAGACGCATTCAATACCACCTTTTGTGACTGTCTTGTTACGATAACAGTTATATGTATCAATATATTACTATCAGTATATATAAGATTTGTTAACAAGTGCCGATTCTATTTATTAGATATGAGAGTCGCTAGTTTTCGGGAGGCACTATAAGAGGTACTTAAGATGATACTTGAGACTGGTCACGATTTATTTATTCATTGGACTGAATTTTTATGTTCAGGGTATAAAATGTGTCATTACATGTTTCTTGAAGTTAGACTCAAAATCTACCTATTCGTTTGTAAGATAATTAATTTAACATTTACGTCGGCACATTTATAGAAATTAAAAACTGACAACGCGAAACTTCATTGGCACTAAAATGTTACCTCAGAGTTTGAAGAAAAACCACTGTTTTTGAAATATTTGGCTTGGACCTTGGTAAATCCGCAATTTCCGTCGTTTTGGCGTTGTCTCATATTATTTCGTTTTAACAAGGAAGGCAATGGTAGAAATGTTTGATAAGCTAACATCATAAAATTTGAATAGTATTAAAACGTGACAATAGAATCAGAAGGTGATCGTATAATCCATTTTCAAAATATTTGGTAAGGAACCTGCGAAATGCATAGTGACCGTCTTATTCTCTGGCTGGGTACTGAAGCTGAGCGTGCTTCACGTTCAGGTCGATCTCGTGGTTAATAGACGCGCTATGTGCGGTTGTTGCAAATAATATTAGCAAACAAAATAGTCTATCAAAATAAGACAGCATGCCACATCTGACCAGAATCGACCTCTGCGTGAGTAAAATACAAGCCGTGGCCGACATATGCCGGCGATTCTGGCGGTACAGTAGATGCAGTCTACGAGCCATTCAATAACCTAGCAATACAGGTTTTGTTCATCTGATCGTACATGGACAAATCATAGATAACTGCTTCGTGCTTTTTGGTAACTCGTCAGCACGTTCTGGGCTTGGTTTCAGGTGAGACACCGCATGGAATTTGAACAACTATTTCCCATCCAAAGCAACCATAAGCATGGTGTCATAAGGAGAAGGGTTTATATAGCCATAGAAAATGTTGCTCGCGAGAATGTGTAAGAAAAAATAAAATACAAGTACAAAGGTCCTGAGATGGCAGCCACAATGCAAAGAAAATCTAGCCAGAACGAAAGTATGTTCCATGTTCATGTCAAGCTGACGAAAATGTTTACTTTTCTTGTCCAGAACACACTATGTTGGTATCAAAACCATGTCGCCTTAGGAGTGGCGTACGATGTGTTATATTATTCTCTTTCGTTTTGGTACCTGAATATACAAATATATTTGTATGAAACTTTAGACTAAATTTCAATATGATTAAAATAACCTTATAACGTTGAAGATCAATAGGAATACTTAATTGAAGAAAATAGTTGAAAACTAAGCACTAAAGAAAAAAAACATGAATATTTGGAAAGAGAAAATTGAATGCTTAGAATGGCGGTTAAAAGTCTAGTTGAGCGGTAAAAAACATGCCCGAAAAAGGTCAAGTGAGTCTGGCTTGCTAATAAGACGCACTATAAAGTTTGTATGAAATACAAGTCAAATGCCTATCAATTAGCGGAGGTTCAACCTTGACCGCACAGAAATAGAGAGCCAGCTGGAGCTAGATTATTGCCATCAAGTGCACCTAACCCGAAATCCTTGCTGTTTAATACTGATAGGATGGCGAGGAGTATCCTTCGGGATAAACCGTTCTAATCCTTGGACTTAGTGGCTCCCGGTCCTCCACTTCCCCTCAGCACAAATTCCAAGAAGTGGCTTCGGAATTTCAAAAGGATTAAGGCAAGTTTAAAGTCTCGGGCCTGGCAGGACAACAGATAAGAAGTTTCTAGAGGGTTTACGGGGAACGGCAAGATGGGATCTCGCGTATGTTAAGAAAATGGATCATGACAAGTGCGAGTGTGTGATACTTGCAGATAGTGAGAAAAGATAATTTAAGAGATTATTACTGTAATTTTCATAATCGCCTCTTAGTTTACACTTCCTACATGAAGGGCTGCGTTAGTGCAAACTTATTTCATAGTAGGTACTTGTGCTTGAAATGTAATAATGGCATTTTTAAGCTACTATCGAAGCAAATTAACAATTCAATGAGCAAACTGGTAACTCTATCCAAAATTTTAACACGCTTGCTGTTGTTTTATGTACTCAAAGTGATACTACATTTGCTAAACGCTATCGGCGAGCCTATGTATGACCTTTTGTATCCACACCCACAGGAATGCGATTTATTCGATGCTCCTGGGGATAAACTTGGTGGACAATTTACGTGGCAAAATTATTAGGTACACTGAATTCGTGTGTTCCTATAAATAATAATAAGATATGTATAACTATGGATTTTAATGAAAATTCATCTACCAGTATGGTTCGTAATATCAATCTTCTAAATAATTTTTTTATGATAATCAGTCGTGCAAGCTAAATATGTCAGTAATACGCTTTTATAGACGGGAATATGTAGAAAGGGGAATTAGAAAATTTAGAACAGTATAGGTCTAGTCCTGGAGACAGACAGACGAAAAGCAGTGGAGCTGGTCTATTGAAAAACTCAATAAAAGAGGCGAGAATTGCCACCTACCACTGATTTCCTAAGCTGATACAATAAATAGAATACTGATGATGTCCGATAAGCATATAGGGTGCCTAATTTCAGACTCTGTTTTTTTTAATCATTTATACAAGGCATTTGAACATGAGAGACAAACATAAAAGTAACACCCTGTATGTTTTTGGACTTCTAGTTCCAATTTTATTATTGATCAGTTGTCATTTTTAGCTCTGTGCGTGTTACTAATGTACAAAGTATCAACTTTCAAGTTCAATTTTTATGTGTTGAGATCTATAAAAATCCATTTATAAAAAAATAAAATACCGTAAAAATTATGAGCAGTTCTCCTGAATTTGTTTTCAAAGCCTTCCGAACCTAAAGTGTTCAACTAATTAATATAGTCCCATTGTGTTGTCATTATTTGTCATTGTACTTAAAAAAAACCACTGTCTTGGCCGAAACGCCGTACAATAAATAGGAATTAAAACGTGTATGTGGTTTAGTTCGGCCAGTCAATTCCATGAATAGGATTTCCATGAACATAAAAAGCACATGATATGTTTTAGCTGTTATATTAGTATTGCCTTATTCACATAAAAAGACGACAAGACATTTATCCCAAGAAGTTTTAATATTTTTACGTAGTACTATTTCTGTTAGTCTTGATTAGAATGAGTTACTTTCAGAGATTAATTTATTCATAGTGTTAATTTGAAAATTGGATACTCACGCAGATACCCATATAGTGTGTTGCATACTATAGTTTTGTCTATAATGTAAAAAAAAACAACCAGCTCTCGCCAACGACAGGGTCCGCGAGCGCATTCGAAAATAACAATGACTCATTTTCTTATACTAGAGAACGTGATTGTAAAATGCAAGTTGCACCGGATTGTTGCTTAAAAAATAAATTGAAATAGCTTCGATCAACATCCAGAAGAACCGTAACTTCCACTCACAGCGGATATTACAAAAAATCTTGTGTACCTATCAGCATTACTGAAGACATCTTCTATCATCTTCCAACTGCTCCTCTAATCTCCAAAAAAACTTCATGCTACCCCTCGTCCCCCATTCCACCACCCCAAACTCGAACTCGAACAACTTCAACTCACAAATCACAACTTTAGAACAACTCTAGAAACTTCACAGCAACTCCAAAACTCCGCGCCGTGAACAACTTCCGCGATCGCGAGCGACTCTGTGGTACGCGCTGTTGCATCGACTGCACGTTAAGACTCAAACGAACGGGGAGCGGTTTCCTGCTGATCGCAGCAGGGTAGCAGGACTATAGGGGATGCGCGCGCACCCGCTGGACTGAAGGATCCTGCTGCGGACGGCCCACCGTGGGAGGCCTCCTGACCGTGACGCAAGGCGCAGCGTGTTACTGCTGCTGGACATACACCAGGAAAAGGTGGGCTGCTGCAGAACGGTGGAAAGGTGCAGGATGCAACCAAGTACTGAGGAGCTGTCATAAGAAGAAGCAGGTTTAGTCATAGAAGGCCTTGTATTGCCTCAATTCAAAGTTAACTTTGTCGCCCTAGCTGTAGTGTCACAGTGTCAGTTTGCAGTAATGCCGGGTTTCGTAACATAATAATAGTATAGTGCGGGAAGTATTGAGTATGCGGTATATTCATCAACACAGCTAATATGTTGGGATATTGATAATGTCTACCAGTACTGCTTTGCAAAACAACATATACCTGAACTTGATTTTCTTGGTCGCTAGGAGGAGGTAGGCGGCGTGATCATAAGGTGAAGTTATAACATACAATTTTTAAAAGTGTTATGATCCAGTGAGCAACAATCCTATGTACTCTCAAAGTCAGCGTTGATTGGAGCGGTACTCGGCCATGTCAAACCTGCTAACATACCAATCGTATATGTGTACAGTCAGTCATGAAGTTTCGACGGATACTACAGTGCTTATAGGAAATATTATGTGTTCAATGATATTCATTACGTAATGCCACATCTGAAGATGGGTTGAAGTGGTTCAGGGTGAAGAAATTACATTACTACCATTACATAATGTCATTGCCATATTTTTTCTCAGGCCTGTAGGCGCGTAGATAAGGTAATAACTAAACAAAGGCTGGAATTTGAGCGCACGAGCTAAAGCCTGGTCGCCCAAAATGCCCGTTATATATCATCATTATTATTATTTAAGTATCAACATTATCATCGTTTATTCAGCTATTATAAGTGTTAAAGGGATGATACAGAATGCGTGATAAGACATACATATACAGGGTGTTCCTTAATGATATGCGAATATTTAAGGGTGCGAATCTACATGAAAAATTAATGTTAGTTTGCTTTATAAACTATGGTTCAAAAACGTTTCCTTACAAAAACTCGAAATGTTGAAGTTTTAGGAAAAACATGGAAGTTAATTAATATTTTTAGAGCCGCTTCAGATATTTCACTGATATATATTTAGTACGTAGTGGAAGTTAATAAAGTTGCATATTTTTCAATGCAAAAATAATTTTTAGCTTTAACAGTGGCGTGCGTACGGGTATTAACTTCAATATTTTTTAAGAAAAAATTGTGCGCCAACGGTTTATTGCCAAATAAAAATTATTATTAATTTAATTGAAAAAAATTAACTCATTAGGGGTAATAAACAACAAAAACTGACAACATAAACATGACATTAAAACCAACGAAATGATTACAAAAATTGTTGAAAGTGGCCCCCTTCACTTAGTATGCATGCTTCCGTCTTCCTTCTCATGGAATTGCGCACTCGTTGAAATATCCATGGAGTGTTTTTTATTCTATCACAAGCTGCAACTATTCTTTCTTTTAATTCCTCTACAGTGTTAATGGGACTTGTGTACACTAGTGTCTTAATATAGCCCCACAAAAATAAATCTAAACTGTTGATGTCTGTGGACCTTGGTGGCCATTCTTGGGGCCCACCGCAGCCAATCCAACGATTTGGATAAACAGCTTGTAAATAATTACGAACCGCTACACTGAAATGTGCTGGTGCACCACCATGCATGTACCACATATTGTTTCTTATTACTAATGGAACATCGTCAAGCAGCAAAGGCAACTGTTGTTAACAAAAAATCCACTAAAATTCTCAAAACAATTTGATGGCAAATGTTTAAGTGTCTAGCGATCTTTCTCGTACTCGTTTCAGGATGTTCTTCGACTTCTTTTCGGACAGAACCAGTTTCAACAAGACGACGATGAATATTAGAAAAGGTTCGACTATCTGGTAAAGAATGATCGGTATATCTCTCGGTAAATCCGTCTGGCTTGCTCACCATTACCGTTGGCAAGGCCATATACGTAATGCATTTGCGTTATTTCTGCATTTGAATAATTCACCGATATTAACAAGATTGTAAAAGCTAAATAATGAAAAAGATGTCACAGCGAACAGATCTGAATAACAGAAACTCGTCGGATGTCACAAGCCAGTGACATACTCCAGAGCAACTAGATATTTATTGCTAAATTGCATTCTTCAATTATTACATTAATTTTCTCGGACAATAGAACGGTTTTTATTATTTTACTCAAAAATGGCGCATCAAAGGAAAAAAAATCAAGAAAGGTCATTTGTTCTAACCTGAAGGGAGAAATCAAAAATAATTTTTATTTGGCAAAAAACCATTTACGTACCACTTTTTTCTTAAAACATATCGAAATCAATACCCGTACGCACGCCACTGTTAAAGCTAAAATTTATTTTTGCATTGAAAAATATGCAACCTTAACTTTCATTACGTACTAAATATCAGTGAAATATCTGAAGCGGTTCTGAAAATATTAATTGATTTCCATTTCTTGTTTTCGTAAAACTTCAGCACCCCGAGTTTTTGTAAGGAAACATTTTTGGACCATAGTTTATAAAGCAAACTAAGATTAATTTTTCATGTAGATTCACACTCTTAAATATTCGCATATCATTAAGGAATACCCTGTATAAATAGGGATGCACTACTTGACTTCATTTTCAAGCTACTTAGGTTAAAGCCAAGTCAACCTCAAGTCAAGATATCAGCAATGTAAATCAAGTTAAGTAGCTTTTACGTCAAGTACTTGCAAATTGAAGTAGTCTTGAAATTACTTGACTTTTTGTAATATAAACACCTTGCCGCAAGTAATGGAGAAAACGATACATATTGAACAAAATATTTTTTTCATAGTAGAACAAATCGATCGAAAAAACTGTAAACTCAAATAGGAAAAACCATATCTTCATCAGCTAATACAACAAAAATCTAAAATTTTGTATAAGCTTTTTCGGATTCATCGCTTAATCTGAAACGGGGTTTCGTAATGGTAAGTGCAGCCTTATAAAATTCCTTTCCAATGGACGCTGTAGGTGTCGATAAGAAATCTCTTACTATAGATTTGGGAATACATTTTCATGCCTCTTCCACTACTCGTGATTATTTGCATTAAGCTACAAGATATGGTTCATCGGTTGTAAAAATAAATGTCACTGAAAACCTTTAGTAGAATAAAAATATAATTTGCCATCACATATCAAGTGGAACATTGAAAAAAATCAAGTCAAGTCAAGCATTAACGTTTCAACAAATATTATTGTCAAGTAGTCTATAAAAATATCAAGCTGACTTGATGAGTCCCTATTCATAATAATGCATGGTAATTATTTGAATTCGAACTACTTTAAGCAAAAATATTCACAGATGCAATCATTTCGAGTAGTTTTCGAGCGTCATTGTTCGTAACAGCATTCACCATTTTCAACAACAAACCATAAAACTAATTAGATGATGAATGTGTATGTTAAAATATTGATCGGGAACACCTGATCAAAATACATCACAGATTGACTTCATTAATTTTCTGAATGTTCAAATTGTGACGTCTGTGAGCCTGACTATTCATGAGTATCCTTAACACAACAATTAATCTTAACAAAAGACCTGAAAAACACAAACGAAATGAATGTTAAAAAACTAGTATACACCCTCAAAACTTCTTCAACAAGTTAGAAATACTGTTACGGGTGATAGGTCTATTCAGCGTAAAAACCAACTCATCCAGTTTCAGCCTTGCGTAGGAAGTGCAGAGTCAAACTAGTTCACACCATTTTTTAAATTATCAAAACTTCTTTCAGAAAGGAAAATGCTAAAGGAATTTAAATTATTCTGTTTTTGTTAATGTTTTGCGAAAACATCAGAATCAATTTAGATCGAATTTATATGTTTGACTTTTTTCATTTTTTCGTTTTTTGTCGATATAACTTGGGCATCTAGATCCAATCAGATTTTAAGAAAATATTTTATGTAATTTTTACAGTACCTCATAAAAATAGTGTTCCTAAACAGAAGAATATTACAATGACACGCGGGCTCGCTTCATCATTCCTAGTTTTTACTCTTATTGGTACAATTCCGTGCCTCCTAATTTTTGCTCGCGAACGAGCGTAGTAACGTGGCTGAAACTAGTAGGTTTAACGGCGCGGGAAAACACGCCGGTCGTCACGGCACCCCTGATTTATCACCATGGAGTGGTCGGGTGATATACACAGGGTGATTTAGTGACTGTAGACGGTCCTAAGAAATCATCCGGTTGCGGTGTGGCGTTGGAACCTTTTCGCGATATCGCCATCGCCGATCTCCACCGAAGGTAAATATACTCCGGGACGGGCACGAATATTTATGCTGGTGGTAGGTCATAAGGTGTGATGATAGGTAGGCAGCCCTTATGGGAAATACAGGGGGAATGCAGTGTTCGAGCAAACGATTTCAGCTAGAAGCCAAGGTTTCAATCTTCTCACCATAGGCTCTTTAAAATATCATGGCCATTTCTCATTGAGCTTCATCTAACAACTCCAGTATGGCTGCAAATGGACTCTCAATAGAAACATATAGTGATCATTGAACAGACCGAGGACTATTTGACTTATGACCTGCTAGAACTTTGGACTAACCCTTAGGTTATTCATTATGGGGCATTCAAGAGTTATCAGTTTCCATAGCTTCAATAAAGAATCCAATAATTACTGGATGTAATTCAGCAAGAGACGACCCCGGCATATTTAAAGGAGTCACGCAGTCTACGCGATTGG